GACCCTGGATCGCATTGGGCTGCAGCCATGCTTTGTGGTCGAGGGTTGCGCGGTTTGGGGGAGGGCGTGCAGTTGCAGCTTCCCTGGAACCAGCTTTCTCCTCTCTTTGCTCGCTGAGCTTTACCTATCTTTCCTTTTGGAGGATTTGGAAGAACAGGAAAGGTTGCTCGCTGTTTTGGGAAGGCACTTGACCGGGTCCCCCCCCCCCTTTTTAGAAAGGGAGATGGGTGCTGTGAGCTCCGGAGCAGAGGCCCGGTCTCAAGTGGGGTTCAGTATTTTGAAACCATCAGATGACTTGATCATTTGGATTCCGGAGTCAAAAAGTGACCGGATACAATTAAGTTTAAAATTTTGCCTTCCCCAAAGCTCCCATTAACTTCAGCGGGGAAGGAAGGAAGGAAGGACGGACTGCCATAGGATGCAAATGAGAAGAAAGGAGAAGGAAGGGATGCAAACAGAACATGTCGCCTCTTGGCCTCAGTTTGGGGGAAAAAAGGACCTGTGCAATTGCTAGTTTGGAATTTGAGTCTTCTTTTTAAGTATCTTGATGAGAACTTGGGCCTTAAAAGACCTGCTCTTCCTTCTAGGCATGCATCTAGTAATGGCCGCATCTTACTCCACTGTGGTCCAGAGAGATGGCTCCGAACAATAGTGAGCTTGGGAAGAAAGCTCCCCCATCTGGTGTTCTCCAGATGCAGGGGGATTCAGCTCCCTCATTTCCAGCCAGCTCTAGGGTATAATTCTTCGGGATGCAGATTTTATGCTTTGCTTTCTTAGTGGCAGAAATAAAAATGAGTCAGTGATGGAATTAGCAGTGGTGGAAATTCCTCCTCTACCAATCTCTAACTCTGGTTTGCTTTCCCTACTTTTTCAGACCCAGATGCCCTCTCCGCTTGCCTTTGTGTTGTTGCATCTTCCTTCCTCTTCCCGTAAGGCTACATCATTCAGGAGATGCTTGGAAGGACATTTCTTGTAACGAAAGGGGATTTGTATATCCCAAGCTGGGCTGCAATGTTAGTTGAGTTCTAGAACATTAAGGAGAAAATCGTTTAGTAGATTTGTGTTGATTTAAACAATTTATCTGGCTGTCCATCTTAAAACAATGATTCTGGCAGCCAGACAGTAAGGTTACTCAGCATTTCACAGTTAATAAAACTTGTGGATTTCTTATCCCTTGCCTCAGCATCTTGTGACTTATGATTTTGCTGACCAAGTTGCATTTCAGGAGATGAGCCACCATCTATATTCCTTATGTCGTACCTCCCAAGACTCCAGCAGCTTTGGAGAATAACTATGTTGGCTGAGCATGAAAGGTATTGTTGTCCAACACATCAGATGTTGGGGGCAAATTAAGAAAGGTTGGCTTGCCAGGCCTATATTTGATCTGTGATGTCAATTGATATCTTGGATTTTCCCATCATCAGATTATGAAACTTTGTAGAAAAGCAGCTCCATGCCAAGGACTTTTCAAGACCAGAAGCTTCTGAGTAGAGTTGAATGAGAATGACGGGAGTTGTAATGCAATATATCTTGAGGCCTCCCAATTTTTCTTTCTTTTCTATTTTTCTTTTACTTTTTTCCCCTTTCTTTTACTTTTTTGGATAGCCTTGCCCAATGTCTCTTGAGGCCTCCAGGTATCCTGTCCTTGTTTAGCTTCTTGATTTTCTTATCTAAGATGAAATTAAGAAGTGTGGGCTAGAGAGGAAGAGGAAGGCCAGGATCCAGAGAGGGCTAATCCTTAATTTGTACTCTGACTCCGTCAGTCTTGCACTTAATCCTGTGTATTTCAATTTCGATGGGAAGAAAAGTATCTTGCCTGCAGAAAAACAGCATGTTTGAGAGAAAAATCTAGAACAGTTTCCTTTTTTCCTTGACAAACAAGCTTTCTTCTTATATATGGAGTGAACTTATTTGTTAGAAAGGAGGAAAATGACAAACTGCAACTGCTGCAGGGTTGTTGTTTTCTGCCATTGTCTGCATTCCTTTTTAATGGAAAGGGAGCATTAAAAGGGAAAAAAGGCCGCTGTGCATTGGTGGCTCAGGAAAGCTGATGCTTTTAATAAAATGTACAGTATTCGTCTGAAAAGGTGTTACTAGACGCCTTCTGATTTTTGTTCTTTCAAAGTGATTGCAAATTCTCTGTCCTCTACAAATACTTCCTGAGTGTTCCTCCGTATTATGTGATGTGATGCTTAGTTGCTCAACTAGCATAGAAAATACTTAGCCACAAACTGGAAGGAATTTATGGGAATTGAATGGGTCTCTCGATTGGCCTGTGATTAGTGTTGTCCCTCTTAACTTCTGTGCCTTCAACCAACTGCCTGGACATAGGCTAACAAAGTTAGTGCCATAGCTTTTCTTGTCACAGCCCTTAAGTGATGGCAAAAGATTCAACATGCTTTTGGCTGGGCATCTTGAAGTTTTACTCAAGAAATTAGTCTAAAAACAAAAAAAAGCTAGAAACTCTGCCTATGACAAATAACATTAGGTGCTTATAAAGAAATTATAACAGCCAGAATGCTATTGGAGAAAGAATCATTGAATATTGCTCAATACTACATTTCAATAAAAGAAACAGGTTTGAATTACTGAAAGTCCCAGGTTCAGTTCTTGGCATCTCTAGTTGCTGTTATTAAGAGAAAAAAAACCCAGAAAGAAATAAAAACAGAGGGCAAAAGATTGAGAAAGAACCTTTCCTGGAGCCCTTGACAATTTGGGGATATCTTACTGATTTTTAATGAATGAGTAATCATTTTAAATTGTCCTAAGGGAACTTATTTTACTAGCATCAGAGAAATGGACATTTCTCTGCAGCAGAAGAATTGTTGAAGTCAAGTCAATGGTTGGATTTGCCCACCATGGCAAGCCATTATTTGCTTAATCTTGATTTGTTAATAACCTTGCTTGGATGACTTTCTACCACACATCAAATCCAATCCAAACAAACCCTATGGAGTTGCTGCAGAGTATGAATGACGAGCTGAAAATTCCTAACTCATCCTCTGACTTAGGACCTGTATAATAACACAATTCTTTTGTAAGACTGTAATCTAGGAAGATAATCTACAGAGAACTTGGAGGAGTCCCTTGGTATCTACAAGCACTCTTCAGAAAATTGGACTCTGGCCACTTTATCTAAAGCTTCTTTGCTGCTGTTAAGCCAAAAGAGGTTTATGCTGAAAAGGGAGAGCGTGAATAAATGTGTCAAACCCTTTTGCTTTCAAAGGAATGTTTCTAAAACAAAAGACCAGATCTCATCACCCTAATTCTTGGAGCTTCCTGAACTAAATGCCAAAACCAATTGCCAAAAGAGACCGTGTATCTGCGCATGTGTCTTGATACCATGTGCTAAGTATCGGAGATGATCCTCTTCTTTGGGCCATCTTAAAAGTTGACCAAAACTCCTGATGCTTACACTCTGTGACCTCATTCATGCATAATGCTAAGCTGTGGTTTGGTTAACTCTGCTTTGTTGACTAAGCTTTGTGTTAAATCATAAGCCATGGTTTACAAACCACAAGGTTCACATAACATGCTAAGTTACAATCAAGGAAGTCGTATTATGTTACGGCATGATCTGTCAACCAAGCGTGAGATCACATCACATTGTGTGATAAGCTATGATTTGCTTATGGTTGGATTCAAATATACCAACACAAACCATGGTTTATAAAAACTAACAGCAGGATTTAGGCACTTAACCAAAAGCAAACACTAGCTTATGTGTAAATTCAAACGAGTCCCTTGATCGTGGCCAAGGAAATTCATGGACATGTTCAGGTAGTTACCAGGACTCCAGTTTGACTTGAAGGAAACTTTATATTATTTTTTAAATGTAAGCAACAGGATGAAGCAGGGGAGACTAGTGTATCAGTGGTCTGGCAAATTTGTGCAAGAGTGCTAGACTGCTCCAGCTCACTTTTTCTTGCTTTATGCAAGATTGAAATAGAACAACACTGAAAGGATGGAAAGGGAAGATAAATCCTGAATAAAAGGCCCCTCTCCTAAGAATTGTGGTCAGTAATTCAGCTCCTTTGGCAATTCATTTTTAATTGCAATTTATTAAACTTTAATGGCTATTTGTTAAACTTATTAAACAGGCCCATTAGGGAGATCAGACCAGAAAATCAACTCCACAGGAAGACTGGAATAACACTATATTGATATAGGCTATAATAATAGAATCTTGCAAGTCTGATTATGCTGTACTTCCCCTCATCCCTGTACTTCAGAGAATCAGGGAAGTGTTTGCCTGAGTTGTTTCTGAATATTATCTTGTTTCACAGGACTTAAATCACGTTTCAACCCTCTTTGCCTAGGTATCGATTCTTGCATAGTTCTGTCAAGATGCCTCCCTTACTCCCTGCATATCCTGAATATGTATGAGTACAGTGAATATACCTCCTACTTGGATATGGTAGGAAATTACTACTTTCTGTGTACTTTTGCTCACCCCCAAAGCGAATATAACGATCGGTATGTATGCATGGGTTGTGACAGAGTGGGATATAGAATGAGGAACGCACAAAACAGTCTAGACCTGTTGTGGTACCTTCCCGTCGGTTTGCGAGATGCTGAAGAAGATGGGCAACCAAATCAGGTGATTAAAAAGATTGCTTGGCCTGTCAGAAGAAGCATGTGCAAAAATTGAAACACCCCCATTTGGCAGTGGCTCAGAAAGGATACAATAGGGGCAGGATAAGGTTCAAAATGGGAACAGGAAATGTCATGCTGGAATTGTTTTCTTCTGACTCATGGGTGAGTAGATAGACTGTTAACTCAGTAGTGAAGAAAGTCCATAAGCCTCACATGTTGGTTAGTATCAGGTCAAGGCTAACTGATCCTCTTGTGTCATCCTCTAAGAGAAAGTTGTCAGCAACACAAATCAGGAATTTCCTGGAAAGACCATGTTTGGCCGAGTTTATTTCTCATCAGATGTCAGGGTAATTATTGTCCCCATCATCACTACTTTGCACCCCTTTGAAAGATCTGCAATTTGCTTTTGAAAAGCATAATTATATCATCTCCTTGCTTTGGGGAAAATGATAGTAGATTCCAACAACGGTACCACTTTTTCATTCCTCCACTTGTTTTTATCCTGATGCTTCCTGCAGTATTGCCAAGTTGATTCACTTGTGTTTCTGAGCCAGTGTGGATATTTCCAGCATACAGTGCAACTTCCCCTCCCTTTCTTTTGCATAAATTCTGCCCTTCAGTTACTGTATTCCACTTATGGGAATTATGCCCCTATCCCTCTACTAGATCTTTAGTATTGAGAAAGGAGAACTAAGATGTCCAGTTTTTATGTGCTTCAGTAATATTGTTGAGCCAAATACCATGTGCCAACATCAAGGCTTCAGCATTATGCATCTGCTAGCAAAATACTTTCCTGTAAATGAGCTTAAGTAGGGGAAGAACAAAATAAACTTTTCTGATGTAGCTGCCACTTTCCTTCTCTGATGTAGACTGCCTGCCTTGACATGATAGACTGAAATTCATCAGGCAAAAAGCTTCCATCAGAAGTCATTATTTCTGCCAAGCAAAAAAAAAAAAAAAACCGTCTGGCGTCTCATATTCCTAACTATAATTTCCATAATCTTTTATCACTGACCATGGGATTGGTACTGATGAGAGTTAGTCCATCCACATCTGGAAGCTTTCCGATGGAAGCTTGTTGCCTGATGAATTTCAGTCTATCATGTGAAAGCAGACAGTCTATATATGAAAGGTTACAGGTTCGCTACCCATTAATTAAGGCACTTATTGTAAGTTGCTTTTTTTTAAAAAAAAAAAAGTAGGATGCCTACTATGTTCAGGAAGATTGTTACTACAGTAGGTAGAATTACCAAATCTGGGCTGCAAAAATCCTAGTGACTACTGGGTGGCAACAAAACACTAGAAATTCTTATTTTTCTTTGGCAATATCTAGTGGTCATCTAGATTTTTGCATACTTAGAGCTGGTAGTTTGCATTTAGGCAAAGGATCTTGATGGAAATAGCACCCTTTTGTTAGGTGGTAGGTCCATCCATTCATAGCATGGGACCATGGCTGTTTGAGAGACCACCAATTATTTCTACCCCTCCCATCAGATCTGGGAGGAAGAGTATGCTCTGGGTCCAATCAATTATAGAATGTCACCTAGCGGGACCTGGGAAGCAGGCCTTTTCTGTCACAGTATCTGCTTTTTGGAACACTGTACCACTTAAAGTTAGGTTGGTCCCAATCCTGCTGGCCTTTTGGAAGGCTCTTAAGACTTGGCTGTTTCCCTGGGCATGGGGGTCAGGAGAATAATTGAGCCCATGATGTTTGGTTATCTGTGGTTATCCACCATTTTATGTTTTTATTTTGTTATTTGCTTTCTGTTATTTGTACTGATGTTTTATATTGTGTTAGCTGCCCAGAGTTGCTGTTGTGAGGTGGATGGCCATGTAAATTGAATAAAACAAATAAATAATATACATATACAAATACATATACATATACATATATATAAAACCTTGAAGATTCAGTCTTCATTCTATTTAATTAAAAGATTAGAAATGATGTTAGATGGTCAAGTCCCAATTAATCACATTTTAACATATTTTTAACATAGACTTATGTAAATTTGAAGAGGCATTCTTTTCTGTGTTGGTATAAAGGAGAGAGATCTCTTCATGGGAAGGGCATGTATAGAAATCTTCATGGTTGACTAATCCAGTGTTTCAGCTGGCTGAGGAATTCTGGGAGTTGAAGTCTACACATCTTAAAGTTGCTAAGGATGAGAAACACTGGATTAGTCCCTAGTCAGGTAGCAGTTTTGCAGCCCGATGCAGTATTGGAAAGGTATTATGTAAAGAGCTTTGTCTCTCAACTAGCAAGATAACTCTTCAAAACCTGAACAGAATGGGACCAAATTTGGTGTGACAGAAAGGGCTGGTAATTTTCAGACATGAAAATGGGTCAGACTTGAAAATGGCTGGAGGGGTGCAAGAAAAAATATTCCCGTAAAGATTCCCCCAACTTTCTCCTATGGGCTTGGAATGTTGCTGAGTCCTCCATTCTATGGCCTTCTCTCTCCCAGTCATGTAACCTGGAGCAAAACTGTTATCAAAGGGTCAGAAAGAATTCCAGAAACTATGTGTCTGCATGCTTTCCCTAAGTGGTTGTTAGCACACAAGTGCTTATAAAATCTGGCAGACCATCTCTGAAGATGTATACTGTTCTGTGTAAAAATAAAAGGAGGAATGCCCCTTCAAAGAAGGAGTATGGGTAACTCTTAGCAGTCACCACCTAGAAATGAAGAAAAAAAAAAAGTAGCTATGTTGGTTCATTTGAAAAATTGATAATATGGAAATACATTTATTAGGACTAACCAAAATCAGCAAAATTAAAAGCAGAATTAATGATAAAGAAGAGTAGTTTTATGCTGTTGACTTGGGGAGGAGGTTGTTGTTCTCCAATATGCAGATTTATGCTTCTTTTAATTAATCACCAGATAATAGATTGCAATCTGTTGGGTTAATAGTGTTGTCCTGTGCTTGCTTGCCTGAAAGTAAGCCCGACTTAATTTTTAACGGAACAGATGTTCTAGTGAAAAAGCATAGAATTGCAATTCTATGCATATTTACTCAAAAGTAAGCCCTACTTAATCTATCCAGGCTCAGCCTTGGGTAAAATCCATACAGGATTGCAGTGTGAGTTCCTTTAATTGGACAGTCCTCTTCTGAATAGAATTTTAAATCCTTTTCAACCTCTTCTTAGTTTTCTGGGTTTATTGTTATATGCTACTTTAAGGGTGTCTGGATCTAAACTAAGACGGTAGATCTTTTTTTAAAAATGCCATTTAAAAATTCCAATTACAAGGAGAATGTGCCTTTGTGTGTGTATGTTAAACCCTAGGTGAATTTCTACCAAGTAGCAAAATATTAAGCATCTGGAAGATACTTCTGCTTGATTTGAATAGACCTCTACAGAGAAACTGCATTTCTTAGAGTGGCCAGATGCAAATATATAGATATGTTTATAGTCCTGTATCTTTAATTGATGTGTAAAAAAAAAAAGAATTTCAACATATGCAGAAATCAAGTCTTAAAAGAAGCCATTGTATGTCACACTTGACTCGGAGATGGTAGAAGCCGAAGATATCCTGTAAAGGAAGGTCAGGCCCTTAGCAGCCACTTACAATCAAGAAAGCTGGATTCTCATAAAGTCTCATTACTCACATTTATTGAAAGGAAAGAAGGGTTAAGTTACAAAACCTTGGAAACTGGGTATGCGTACTTTAGTCCCCATTTATCAGTGAGAATGTTAAGGTGGGCCTCCTTGATGCCTTTGATCCTCTTCCTCTGCCTTTTGATACAATGAAGATGTTACAACTCACTTGCCGGATATTGAAGGAATGTACATCTGTTGTGGCCTTGCCATATTGTGCAAATGGCCCTTTGATTTCCAGACTCAGAGAACTACATTACAGGTAACATTTCCTTTGAAATGTTCCTTTGTTCACCTGAGCTCCCGGTGACTACATGTCCTTCTGGGGCATTCATGAGGGTGGGCAAGGGAGGCAAGTGTTATATATTGTATATTGTAGGCTTATTTGTGTGATGTGTGTATCTACATCACTTTGCTCTTAGTATCAGTTCTCTGGTGGATGCCCCTGTGAAAAGTTCTACTCACATTTCCTCTGACTTCTAATTTACAGACTCCCAAAGGCACTTGTGCTGAATCAGTGAAAACAGCCATTGATGCCGGTTATCGTCATATTGATGGGGCTTTTGTGTATCACAACGAAGATGAAGTTGGACAGGCCATACGGGAGAAAATTGCAGAGGGGAAGATCAAGCGCGAAGACCTATTTTATTGTGGCAAAGTAAGAAGTTGGAATCAATTTTTTTCCTTGGAATAAGGATGAAGCATACTGTTGCTTGAACCAGCATTTTTTTTTCTTCCTTTTCTGTTTTTCTCAGATCAGAGAGAAAGCTCAGGGAGCAGATAAGTTAGATCCTAACCCTACTTCATGGCAAAGATCCTGCATTCTTATTCCTTCCTTCTGTTGTAGCTCTGTAGCCAATTTTATATTACTGATTATTTTAGAGGAAACTTTAGGCTGCCTTTTTATAGCAGGAATCCTCCCAGTGCAGTTTACAATATAAGTAACAATAAAAGTCACTGATAATTACAGTGACCATATGTCCTTTATTATAAAGGACAGTCATTTATTTCAGAATGCTGTCCTTTGGATTTATTTAATTTAATTATTTATTTCCTTGGTTTTGCTCTTGAATTTTCTTTTGTAAAGCAAAGTTATAAACGTAAAAAATTATTTTTTTAATCCTTATGAACCACTTTCAGATTTGCCCCTTTTTCAGGTTTATGCTTTATTTTTTCCCAAGAAAATATTTATTTATTTGTTGTTGGATTTCTCCCCCACCCATCTCCCCCACAATAGGGGGGAGACATCCTGCCCCACTATATATTGCCCCACAACAGGGGGGGGAAGTACAGTGACAAGAATATTGTCACTTTACTGATAATAAAAGAAATATCCTGCCCCACTATATTAAAAATTTGAAGCTACTGCAGTCTTATAAACACATGGCTTAAGAATAGGCTGCAGAAAAATAAATGAGTCATTACAACCTGAGATTTAAAGAGGTCAATAAAACTTTGTTGGGGGTAAGAACAGGGATGGATTTCCTTGGAGCTGGGGACTGGACATTTTTTAAAAATTGCTTTCATCTCTAAGGGACTGTGAAAGGGCAGAAGTTGTCATATCATCTGAGTGACTTGAAGCAAAATTTGGGGCCTGTTGGAGGTGTTGGGGGCTTTTAAGAAGCAAAATGAGTGCCCAAAGCCTTGCAGAAACTTAAAATCTCTATTTTGCTTCCTAAAATCCCCTAATGGCAGTATTGCATTTGTGTGATTTTTGCAGTTCTTTAAAAATTAAATTCAGATATGTTTAGAGGTGAACAGAAGGTAAAAAATGTTGGGGTGAAGCCTCCTTGTAATTACAAAGGCTTCTGATAGAGTAGAATAGAAAGTATAAATGTGGTTTTAATTAACCTTGACCCTGCCACTTTCAACAACCGGTTTTCAGGCAGGAAAAAAAAATCCTTGCAAATAAAAGCCAGATTCTGTTAAGGGATCAGTCTCTGAAGCAGTTCATTGATCTATGCTGGAAAGGACTATTGTGGTAGACTACAGGAAATGGCTCATTTCAGTGTGTCTAAAGCTTGATTTTCTTGAAGAGGAAGAGGAGGCCTCTAGAATCTCTAAAAATCTTTAAGCATTAATACCAATCAAGCAAAGCTTTGGAAAAAATAAGTCAGTTTTAAACCATTGGATAAAGACTGAGCATTAGGTTGCAATTTCTAGACCAGGGTTCCTCAACCTTGGCAACTTGCTGGATGGGGAATTCTGGGAGTTGAAGTCTGCCCATCTTAAAGTTGCCAAGATTGAGGAACCCTGTTCTAGGCAATGTATAACTTCCTGATAAAAGATGGAGCTGGTTTCTGATAGCAAACAATTATTGACATCTGCCTTAGTGGCAACATGTCTATCTTACTGAAAAAACGGAATGCAACATGGAGTGAAGCTGCATTTTACACCACACATTGCTATTCTCCCATAGGGACCCACCCCTCTTTTTTGCAGCTCCCCCAAACCTGAACTGATAGCCACATTGGAGCAGAGAACACACAAAAACTATAAGCTCTGAAACAGGTATATCTCATTTTAAAAAAAATTAAAACACACACGCCCAGTGGAAAATCCTAGCCCTGTTGACATGTATGATGCTTCATCCATTTTGTGTCATTACTTCTGCTGCTGCAGTCTTCAGGTTCCCCTCCACCATTAAATATAACTCCCAGCCATTAAATTGGCTGGGGAATTCTGGGAGTTGAAGTCCACACATCTTCAAGTGGCCAAGGTTGAGGAACACTGTCTTAGAGCATTAGTTTAACAGCTTCCAGACAGAAGCTGTGAATTCAAGATTCCTTAATGGGGACCATTGCTTCAGTCGGCAGTTGTAACAGCATTCTGCCAGCCAACGAAGAAGACTCTTGTGTCTTATCCCTCCTAACTGGGACTGTAAAACTGTTTCTCTTGACCATGGTAGCATTGCATCAGGAGACAGGAGGTCTATGAACAGATGTATAGCTTCCACACTAGTCTTTTCCTCTGGAATTTTCATTGATTGCTTGATCATGCTTTACAGAGGATCTAAATAACATCACTGACAAATCACCGCATTTGTTTTCTGGGTCAACATCTATAGTTTTCTGAAACCTGATTCATTGCTTGGGTTGTTATTATTATCATGGTCATCAGCATCATGCTCATCATTTCAATCTTTGTTGTCTTTTATTACAGTGGAACACCCATTTCTTGTGCTTTCCTGAAAAAAGTTCTAAGTTTTTCCCCAGATAATTTGGGTTTAAAATTGGAGTATCGCCTTAGATTTATTGAAATTCTGGTAAAAGAGACAGATGAGTTTTAGCCTTTCTTTTTTGAGGACAATTGCCTAAAAATCATCTTCCTTTTGAGTAATTACAGTGGATGGCTCAATCGTTATTAAATGCAATTGTGACATTAATCAGAAGCTTCTTATTTATTCAGTTGTTTGTTTTGCCATTTTTTGTTTAAAGCTACATCCTGATGGTTTTTTTGCTTACAGGTTCACTTTATTTCTTCCTGTTCAGTACAAATCCAACATTTGTAAGCAACACTAAGTACGTTTTCATCAATGAAGTCCTTTCAAGTTCATCCTGTTAGACCACTTCCTTCTGCTGATGGACTAGTGGAAAATTGCTGAAATACTCTTTAATTTCTCCTATTGTCAGTTTCTATAAGGGAAGGACAGGCCAGTGCAGGTTAATTACTGAGTTCCTCCCATTTTCTCCATCATTAAGTTTCATAGTTATTTCACTATAAGTAACGTAAACATAAAAATAACAATGGATGCTTAATGCATAATTAAATCTTGCCTCTGAATCTGACAAAGGTAAAGGGTTAAAGAAATAAGACTTTTCGAGGAGCAATTTGTAACTGATCTTCCATCTCTTCTTGCCCAGAGAAGTTCATTTAATCAATTTCCTTTTTTAAAGTTTTGAAGGTTGGTTAAAAAGATTTTTGAAAGAATGGTCAGTACATACCTACTTCATTTGCATGGTTGATGTAAGACAGATTGAAATCTCATGTTGCTATATCTCAACATATAGGATTTCCTCTCATTAGGTCCATCATTTGCTCAAGAAAAGGCAGGTGTCTTCTCAATTCCATAAAGGAGGTTCCTTGACACAATATGCATTATATCATATGGGTACAAATTTAGTAAGCCTGTTATGCTCAAGTTAAGGTCTTTGTGTGCTCATTCTGTTGAATGCAAGTCTTAGCCTTCTACTCCAAATTTTGCTACTGCTTTGATGAACACTTAGTTAAATTCTCCCTTAGGCTAACTTTCCTGTATAATTATCAGCCCAAAGGTTCCAGTTTTTGAGAGGTCTCCTCTTGCCAAAGAATAATGAAATGTTACCATTTTTAATTACTGGTTGAAACTGATGTTTAATTCAACCAGCTAGGTTGCCCTGATAAGAAGAGATGGTTTCTGGTTTTTTTGTGGAAGATGGGCGTTCTTGCTGTTGTTAAATTTGTATCCTGCCTTTGTTTTGCACAAGTCAAGGTGGTGTACATAATGCTCCTTCTTTCTATTTTCCTCACAGCAACAACCCTGTGAGGTGGGTTGACCTGAGAGAGAGAATGACTGACCCAAAGATGTCCAGCCATTAGCAATAAGATGGGTCTTTATGGCGTTTCCTGGGATGCGATTGCTAGGATACCAGCAAGTCAGAAAGGTTGTGAAACAAAGATTTCTAGGTATAGAATGGCAACAGGTGCTTAGTATGGGACCAAGACAACTTAAGTTGTAGTGGTACCCCTATAGTACCAGTTCAGCTGGCTACTTCCAGTCTCTGACAAACACCAGATGTTTCTAATTCTGAATATGTTTGCCTTTCTGGTTCTCATACAGTAGAAGCTGTAAGCCACGTCTTACTGTACTGTAATTTCTATAGGGACTTAGAAGCCACTTTAATCTTGCCTCTTGTAGAATGCCTATCAGGCAAATTAGATGAGATATCTCATTCCTCCCGGTAGGCTGTCGATCCAATATTACATATTCTGCAGCCAAGTTTTGTTTAGCAGCCATAAGGGTACATACTCGGGTTCTACCTGGCCTAGTGGAATAGCCACCCAATATTTGCAACCCTCCAGATTGCTATCCATACTGAGGAGGAGGAAGGGGGGGATTATTATTATGGTTGGTCACACAGTCAGCCAGATGTTTAGGCTGGATTTGGCATTTTTATCCACCTATCAAGTCCTTCCCAAGGACCTAGAATAGGCAGATGTTGTTTGATGGTGTTAAAGGTATCATCGCAGGATGTAAGCTGTTCCAAGTGAAGCTGCTTTTTGCAATTGATTGATGGTGAATTTGTCAGTGCCAGTGGTGTTCAAGTAGTGCTCCAGATGTTTTGGGACTGCACCCAAGGCGCTTAGCAAGCAAGCAAAGCAAAGGAGTTATGATTTGTGAGGATGTGATAAGGGCAGAGTTCTGACCAAAAGGCTGTTTGGTCCAGTTTTTTCTTCTTCAGTAACCAGTCAGAGGCCTCTGGAAAGTCTCCAAATATGGCACCGGTGCAATAGCCAGTTTGGTGTAGTGGTTAAGGCTCCAGGCTAGAAACCAGGAGACTGCGAGTTCCGGTCCTGCCTTAGGTGTGAAAACCGGCTGGGTGACTTTGGGCCAATTGCTCCCTCTCAGCCCCATTCACCTCACAGGGTTGTTGTTGTGGGGAAAACAGGAGGAGGAAGGAGTATTAGGCATGTTTGCTGCCTTGAGTTATATATAAAAAAGGCAACAGAAAATATAACAACACCACCAACAACACTCTGTTTACATTTTCGAGCAGTTAGTAATGAGAGGCATGATGCCTCTGCTGCAGATAGCTTTCTCCTTCATAAATGTTGATTTATGACTCCTTGATATTTCATTTGTATCAAAGTTGTTTATCCTTTCTTTTGCCAAAAAGTGGTATCACATAGCTGACAAAAACAATCTTCAAACAGTTGTTGCAATTTGAAAACTTTGGAAGAGGATAACAGTCAGAACTGATTAATAGAAGGTTGTTAAGCAAATGAATAAAGCAGATGGAGAAAAGGTAGCTTTTCACCTTATGGGTAAGAATTACAAATGTTGTGTTTCATCGCAGCAGATAATTGCAGGTAGCAAATTTCAGGGATAGAAAGGGTCCACAAAAGTCTTGCCCTTAAACTCTGGATTTAATAGGGGCAAAGGGCATTTGGAAGAAGCTTGTGTAATTTTTCTTCCCAGGGATGTTGATGAGAGGCATCTTGGAGCCTCCACATTCAATTACACACTTTATTTTAAAAATTCAGATGGGATCCTATCCTTCTCCTGCTGGTTAGCTGGCTGGATCTCCCTCTCTGTTCCTTCAGGAAAAGGGAAGCTGGGAGAGGGAGAATGCCTTAAGTGTGGGGTCCCTAAGTTCAACTCCAAATCTCCCCCAGTCCTGCTTTTTATGAATTGAGATTTACATGGGAGTTAATCGGTCTTTCCCAATATGGTCATCCTACAGACATGTGGAACAGTTCCCAAAATCCTCCAAGCAAAATGGCAGTTGGTGAACTTAACATATCTGGAGTGGGTGGTTCTTAGTGCATTTTGATTCAGAGCCATTTCAGGGCATTAGTGACCTTAGCCAACAGCTTGAATTATGTGTGGAATCCCAGTGGCAACCTTTTCTTTGCTCTGAATCTCTCACCATTCAGTTTGATGAGCACATGACCCTAAGTTATTGAACGATGGGGAACTTCTCACTGGCCATACTTGGCACAATGGCTTATTTGATTCTAGATAATGGGGGCTATGTTTCAATACATCTGGAGAGCATACTGTCCTGGCAATAGCCATGGCCTTTGCATTTGAAAAGGGTGTTTTTTAATCAGTACACTTATATATACGTACAATATACAGTTATAGAGAGTAGATGACCTTGATGGAAATATGCAAAAACCATTACCTGGGCAAAGGAGGCTGAAACATTTTTTAAACCTGAGAAAGAAGATAACATTTGGAAGTGGCTCAGGAAGATGGCAGGTTGACCAGCGGAGTTGCCCTCAGATTGCATCATGCTGAGTTTGCTGAAAAAAGGGACAACCTGATGGGCCATATCTATAACTAAGGGCAACAAATCAGTGCTGGACAATTATCAAAACTTCATGCAAAGATTGAGAGGTTCCTTTGATGATTTCATGAGGCTCCTGGCTGCTAGCTGTGAAACTTACAAACTCAGGCAAGGTCAGCGGAGAGTGTGGACGTATTGTACATATAGGATTTTAAATTATTTGCTAGAGATGTGGGATGGAAATATCTGCCTCTGATTTACCAATTTAGTGAGGGAGTTGCTGACAAATTGGGAGATGAATTGGTGAAACAAGGCACCCCAGATAATTTAGAAGACCTGTGGGAATGATGCTCATGCATGACCTAAAATACTTGCTAGTGGAAAGTAGTGATTTAGGCGAAGATCTCTGAGGGTTCCACTCTCTTCCATCAGTAGCCAATTCTGTTGATGTTAGTTGGCTTTTACTGGGGGTGGCAGTCATTTCGCCCCCAAAGGAAATTTTACAGATCATCCTTTTCATGAAGTTAAAATTTTATCAATGTTCCTGATAAAGTGACAACCTTAGCAGAAGAGTGATCTGGCAGCTTTCTCGCATTCTCATTGCGACATGTGACAATGAACTTTACCAAATAGATCACGACATACACAACTGATAGAAAAAAATAAAGGAAAAAGAACAATTATGAAAGAAAACCTTATTTTAAACATCCAGGATACAAACAAAAAATAAGTTCAACACAGTTCCTGGCTTCTCCCAGAAGGGATATTTTTTGTAGAAGTTGTTTTTCATATAAATTTGAAAATGGTGCAGTGAAGCCAAGAGTTGGCTCACAATCAGGCAATGCAATCCTATATCTATGTTTGTGTCCAAAAGTAAATCCCATTGAGTTCACTAAGATAGGATTGTAACCTTTGTCATTAAAAGGTGATCTGCAAGTCTGGGAAATGAAAAATGCATTGTTACAATTATTTTGGAATTCCCACCTCCCATTATATCAACATTATCATTTGTGGCTGGTGGGGGAAACAACCTGAGTACCTTCCAGATGTTTGGGGCTAAACTTCCATTAGCTCTTATCAGCATGGTGGCCAGAGGGGGACATTGGGAGTTCTAATCTCAAACACTTCAAGGATACCCGATACCTTCCTTTTGATAAACTACATCTTTACTAACCACAACTGGAATTAATGGGATTTCAGCACAGTATTCTGGGGTTATATCATAGATCAGCAGAGTTGTGTTCTCCTTTCATATTACACTGTATGGAATATAGCTGTTGTGGCCCAAAGGAACACAGAAAGGGTCTCCTGTACGATGAAACTATACTTGTTTTGAAATATCTGGATAACAATGCAACATCCCTTTTTCTATGGGCTTCACTGAATGTTTACATCACCTAGAATGTGCCACTTTCATCGTATCAAAGGTCATAGCATCCTTTGAAAGGCAACGCTTGGCGTCACATTGCAAAAGAAGGTGGAAGCATATCAACGATTCAAGAAGTTGGAGGTTCTTCTGAAGGTTAACCAATTAAAATAATGATGATAACTTATAAGCAATTTCATGTGTTGACTGTTTAATTCTTACCCCCCTGTAGATAATCCTTTGCAGCATATTTTTATACATTTCTACTCAGAATTAAGTTCCAGTCATTTGAGTGGCAGTTATTTCCAGAGAAATGGTCATAGGATCTTAGCCTGTTCCTGCTATTGTTTAAAGAAAATTTGCCAAAGTATTCATTCCCTTAGAAAAAGTGTTACATTTTTGTTTGTTTTTGGAAAATCTGCAATTTTTTATTCTAGAATTTAATATGTGCTGGTTTATTTTAATAGTATGCTCAAAATGGTATATTTTTAAAATTTCCATTTCTGTATTCCATAGTTTCAAGGAGGAGAGATCCTGATTTCTTTTTCTTTTTTCCTTCTTTTTGCCCTAGTTGTGGAATACATGCCACCCACCAGAAATGGTGCGTCCCACTCTAGAGAAGACATTAAAAATTTTACAGCTTGACTACGTCGATCTCTATCTTATTGAACTGCCGATGGCTTTTCAGGTAAAGAGTTGTGCTGGAGCTCCTCCTAGTGTGTATGATTGTGAACTGTAAATACATAAAGTCTCCTTAGCAGACCTTTGCTTTTTAGAACACTCCCACACTTGTAAATCAGCATATAGTAGCACTGAAGGACCCAACTGGCACAAGACCAGTCTACAGATTTATATTGACTGTCTCTGTCAAAAGACATATATTCACAACTTAAATATCCCTATTGTGAAGCTGTTGCATGACAATATTCAAATATGTACTATATACATATTACTTGCTTTTAGTTTGTATGTATGCAGTGTCTGCCACTTGGAATATAAACATGGATTAAGAGCTTTTGATTGAATTTGTGACAATATGAAATGATACAGAACCTTGGTGCTCAAATATTTTATGCACATTAGGGCTGTGCAAAACCTTTCAAAGAGGTTCTTCACAATGCACTTGCTTTACTGGTTTTTTTAAAGTTTTTTATTAAAAGTTTTACAAAGCACATAAAAACTAACACAAACTAATAAAGAGTAGAAACGGTAAAGAAGAAAGGAAAGAAGAGATAGAAAAGTGCAGAAAAAAAGAATAAAAAAGAAAAAAATAGAAAGAAGCAGCTTCTGATTTCCTTTGCAGCAACTAGAAGTACAATTGCAAAATTATCTCTTACTCTATGATTACAAAAAAGCTCACTTTTTTCTATTTTTTTCTAATCATCAAAACCACAAATTATAAGTGCATTTTTTCCATTTCATGCAAAAAGTCTATAAGAATTTTCCATTCAACCATAAATCTAAATTTTTTTTGTCTGATCAAAGAGATAAATTTAGCCATCTACACAAGTTCCATCATCTTCACCAGCCAATCCTCTACTGTAGGTAGTGTCAAACCTGTCCACTTTTGAGCATATAATAGTCTCACTGCGGTTGTCATATATAAAAACAAAGTTCCATGACTTTTTTCTAATTGTTTGTCCATTACAGTAGTCCCAAAAGAAAAGTCTCTGGTTTCAGTTGTACTTTGACCTTTAAAATCTTCTGAATTAATGCATGTGTTTGTATCCAAAATGTTTTGGCTTTTTTACATGGCCACCAAACATGATAAAATGTCCCTTCATGTTGTTTAGCTTTACTGTTTTGATTAGAGGTGGTCTAAGTGTGCTGTGAAGCACCTTCTATTTTACAGGCCTATTTTACATATGCAAATTATTAGTTGATGTGCTAATCAAGCAGCAGATCATGCATGTGGGATCCTGGCCTTCAATGCTGCCATGTACTATTATTTTCCCCTGTTGTAAAATAGTAGTAAAGCTATGGCACTGAAAAGGGCTTTCCTATTGAGCACCCACACACTAGAACAGGATGATTTATATCCAGGCGTTTCCTTCTTGCAGAACAGTCTTAATTGCCCATAAATGAGTCAATACTGAATATAGAAATTGATACTCTTATGTACAGGAAAAGTGTTGTCCAAACTGTTCCCTTACAGACTAGTTAATACATCAGGCTACTTCAATGTGAACCTCTGTATCTCATGCTAAAGTACACAGAGTGACTTGCTATGTCAGCAGTAGCATTAAGTTGAAACGTGTTTTATAAGTCATTGTGGATGAGTTTGTACCTCATCATTAGCACATTTATTTATTTATTTATTTGAATGTATTGGCCACCCAACTCCAGTGGACTCACATAATCACGTGACTCACGTGACTCACTGAGTCATAGCATGGCTTAGCAGTCAATATGCTTGCCAGTGTTCCACTTAAGCTGCTCCAGTTCCACCATTAATAGTGAGAGTCAGTGTGTGCAATGGCAGGTTCTTTCACTGATAAGCCATATTACAGTTCTGCATGTTGTGTAAAGGTACCCTCTAAATCAAAAGTAAGGTTTAGGCTTCTTTGTAAACCAGTTCACAGTATAGGCCTAAAACTACTAAGACCATTAGGGCCGGATCTGACAGTCCTTAGTTTGGTCATCTTCAACTAGGTACCATCAAATGTGTTGGGTTTTAACTGTGGTAAATAATGCTGACTGTGGAATTCCAATAAATATGCAAGACACTAGGTTGAAGAAAGCAGCTTTAGTATAATAAACCTTCCTGATGTTTTTAATTTCCTGGCATGATCATATGGATTTTCTCTCCTACACTTTGCAACCTGTATGGCACCTCAATGCATCCATGTTTATTAATAGTTAAATTTATTTTCTGCCACCAAATACCATAAACCATTATAAACAAAAATCTACCAAACTCATATCTCTTGCAGTCTAGAAATAGGTATGGCATTAATTACAACATGACCTGCGAAGTGGACCATAGGGGCGTGTGAGGACATAATATTATATAACAGTGATATGTCTCTGCTCTGAGAGCTTAAGGGGAGGTGGACCGTTCTAAAGACAGACTGAGTGAATCAAATAAGACATAATTTGCATTATTTTCAGGCAGTATGAATAATACTTGTATAGTTTCCTGTTATTGTACAAGTAATAGGGTTGTTCCCCTAGTCCTATGAACTATGCAAGTAATAATTTTTTTCCTACTAGTCCTGTGAATTTCATTTGGGATATAGGTGACTAACAGAGTATTGGCAGCTGCCTCCATTTCCCCAGTCCCACCCACATAACTCCTTTGAGACATCATCAAAAAGAAGAATAGGCTGATTATCCTTAAATTCTGTTTGGGCTCTTGTTTCTATTGGCTTTCTGCCTAAAGAGAGGGAGGGAGCCCAGCTGTACATTCCCAGCTTGCTAAATCACCGTTTAGCAAGCTAGAGATCAATGTTCTGCTAATATTGTTAAATTCTTGCTTAAATGGTAAAGTGAGAGGGGAAAAAATTGCTTTAATTCAGAATATCCATTTGTAATGCTACCCATTCTCAGTTAATCTTAATGGATAAGAATTCTAGAGGCAGTGCCGGTCTTAGTTCAGTTTTCTTTCAAAGAGAAAGTGCTAGAGATTCAGCTAGGAGTTGGCCAGTACTGGGATCCTGTTCCTCTTTCCTAGTTAGAAAACTTTGTGCTCCAATGTCTAGTTGCTCTTTCGCAGAAGCACCAAAAGAAAGACATACTGGCCTCTCAAGAGTAATATAAAGGAATTAGGTCAAGTGTAAGCAATCTAGTATCCTTCAGATGTTTAAGGCTTCAACTCCCACAATGACAGATTATGGGAGTGATACTCCTAAACATCTGGAGCACATCAGGTTGCTTACACTTGACCTAATCCATGTTGGGTCTGACATATCTGACATGCATCTGAGGGTAAATGTTCTGTTCAATAAATTGAAACAGTTTTGAGCTTTTCTCCCCAAATATCTACCTTCTCTTCAAACTGTAGGGAAACTTTCTTCTTGTCCAAAATTAACAGAATATTGAAGCATTGTGAGAGTTTCTCCCTTCTCCCCTACTTCCCCTGTGACATTTTTGTTTTTTCAGCCAGGAGACAACCTCTATCCTATAGATGAAAATGGAAAATGGATTTATCATGAAACAGATCTATGCGCCACATGGGAGGTGAGTATTTAGGAAGGATGAACCTCATCATAACTAACAGTGTCTAAAACTTTGTCATATTCATTAGGACATGTCTTTCAGTAAATTTGGGGGAAGGGGGTGGAAAGAAAGCCATCTAAGTTAGGTGCCACTGCATACCTCAACAGCAATGGATTCTGAGTTATATGCTATGCAGAAGCAGTAGCATTGGCCTTAAATTTAGGTGTGCCCAAGATTGGTCAGTTTAGCTGCCTGTGATGAGGAGCAGCTCATATCATTCTGGCAAAAAAAAAAAATAAAAAATAAAATAAAATTAAATTAAATTAAAAACAATGCAACACAACACAACACAATACAATACAATACATGTACAATGCAGGAATGATCTGTTCAATTAATTGTCCAAAATTATAAAGCTACAAAGGGTGGGGTAGGTCATCAGGTATGATGAATCTGGCATGCATTCTGTAATTTGTCAAATGGCATTACTGTTTTCATGATATCTGGAGGGTTAAGCCATCTTAGTCTTTGCAGTAAGTCTTATGGCACCTTAAAAATGAATATATTTTAGTTTACAGGCTTTTATTGAAGTCAATACATGTCACAGAGAGATAGAAGAGAAACTTTTTGTGTAGTTAATGATATTGTTTGTGTGGGGAGCAGAATTATTTCAAAGCCTGGAGACAGAAAAACCAAACTAGTAAGAATGTAGAAGAAATGGAAGGACTGTTCTTGTCAGGTCAATGTTGTAAAAAACCCCAAAGTGGCATGTATTCCTTAACGGCCAGGAAATCCATTGCCTTGCATGTTATTGTCCTGAAAAAGAAATATTGTTACACAGAGTTGTTCTGGGGAGGAAAAATAAAATACAGAGCCAGTACTGAAGTGACACATGTTTTTAAACAATGTCCCTTAGACATGACATAGATATTATTGCATCGGAACTGCTTACTATATAACTCTAATGTGATAAGAAACTGATCCGCATTTAATTTCTCAGAAGGGTGTTAAATCCGAATGAATCTGAACTCTCTTACCTTGCATGTATATTACTTTGTATTTTCTTTTTGCAGTTGCACCACTTTGAGGTAAGAGGTAGTTCTGAAATGCTGGGCGTTTTGAGTATTGCCATTTCTGATAAATAAATGGACATAAATTATAACATTAGCATCACCATGTGCTGCAGCATCATTCATTCAGTGTTCCATCTGAATCATGCCATAGGACAGATGTTCCCTGGGCAAACCTAATAGCTTGTATTGTTATATGAAACAATATGAAGTTCTTAGTACCTCCAAGCCACACACTTTTTAAGAATAGTTTGGACCTCAAGAATAAGATTGAGTTAACATGTTTATAACTGAAATTTCTAGCCATGAGGTTAGGAACCACCATGGTAGGTTTGTTTGTTTATTTTTATTTTTTATTATTATTATTATTATTATTATTATTATTATTATTAAGCACTTAATGTTATATGAAATATTGGTCAGGTACTCCACACCACTGATAATTTACTAATTGCACCATAATGAAAGAAGCTCAAGCCAGTTTTATTCCATTTTCTAAATTGCAGCTTCTTCCTTAAGTCCTGCACCAGCCAAGAGGTTGTGAAATTGACTACTGTGTAAGGAATAATAAGCAATGGAATTCTGAAATTGACCAGACCATATGGCAAACAAGGTGGGAAGACTCCCACCTGGAGCTATGCGTGGGCATGGGCTTGAACCCAGACTCAGAAAAGGACTTGACCAGATCCATTGGAGAAGGCTAATACTGAGGCAGAGATGAAAACTGGGTAGATTCTAGGAACGTGGTGATATTTGAGCCACAAGACTGGGCACTCTTGAGCCAGAGACATTTGACTTGGTAACTCCAGAATTTGTATCATACGTGTCTGTGTACACACACACATACCAAGATGAATCACTGTGTCAGGAATTGTTGCCATCTTTTGGCCTAGCAATGCAAGCAATGAGAAAAATCCCAGAGAAGCACCAGGCTCTACTCTGGTGGCATGCCCTATTAAGGCCTACTGCTCCTCAAGGAGTAGGGATCTGAATGTAGAAACATAAAAGTCAGATGTTGTTCGGGGCGACTGCTTCCTAGACAAAACCAATTGCAGGAGAAGGCCTTTCTCTCTCATCTTCCTTTTTCTTAATGCTGTCACATTTTATTCTTTGCCAATTCTTGTACCTGATCTCCATTAAAATTCTTGCTCAAGTATAATCTCTTTAGCCAACCCTTTAGCCAATCCTTTAGTGGGGGGTGAGGCAACCTGCCCTTCCTTCATCTCCTTTGCCTTCCTCAACTGGGTGCCCTCCAGATATGTAAACCTGAACTCCCATAGTTCTCCAGCCAGCATGGCCGTTCCTGAGAATGGGAAATTCCATTTCTGGGAATAAATCCACACAAGGAACACCTAGGTTGGTGGAGGCTGCATTCATCATGGATCTTTTCCCCACAGCAGCATCATAATTCAATCACCTTTATTTGTTCTGTTCTCCTAAGCAGTAAGAACATTATTTGCCAGTTTGTTACATTGTTTTGCCTACTTCATTCTGACAGGCTTTGGAAGCATGTAAAGATGCAGGCTTGGTGAAATCTCTTGGCGTATCCAACTTCAACCGTAGGCAGCTGGAAATGATTCTGAACAAGCCAGGTCTGAAGTACAAACCTGTCAGTAACCAGGTAATGACTGCCAATGGATAAGCCCGTTTCAGCATGTAATGAGTGGCATGTGCCATTGGTGCTTGACCAGTGTATCTTAGCATCAAAATACCTTGTATGATGCATCTTCATGACTTCCCATTTATGTTCCTTTTTAATATATGTGGATTTATTTATCTTAGCAAATTTTACAGCAGTAAATACAAAAGAAAAAAAAACAAAGAAATATATGAAAAGCAACCCAATATGTCATTTTTCATATATTCCTCTTTCTGGGTTTGTTTGTCTGTTTTTGGTACTTCTTGCTATAAAATGTTAGATAAATAAAAAAAAAACATGTTACAAAAAAACCCCCTAGTGAACCTATCCATTCAACCTTCCAAAAAGGCCTTGAAATTTTGGCTAAATTAAAGAAGGAGCCAATACATACTCAACCAGGACAAGCATAAAATCATGTTAATTTTGTGGTCAAGCTTTAATCATGGGAATTTAAAGTAATTAATTCCACTCTATTGCCAGAAGAGGCTTTTACCCTTGGGGGAGGGAGACATTTTAGGCAGTGACCCACCTGCAGTAATATCTAAACATGTAGCATTTCAGAGCTTTCAGGATTAGGCCAATTTTCCCCAGGTGAGCTAGCTGGGAGTGATGGAACAAGTCAGAATGGCATTGTCCACTCTGACTGACAGCAACTTTCAGAGTTTCTGATCTGGGCCATCAGCTCCATAATTCTTTTCAGTGGATGAGTGGAAGACACTTTTTTATGAACATATCATGTATGTACCATACATTCTGCGGAAGAAAGTTGGGAAATAAAGTAACACAGCTGATGTGTTAAATCAAAGATAGGAAATGATAATAATTGCACTTAACTTAAAAATGTGGGGAAAAAACACTAAGCAGAGAAAATCTGGATTTTGTTGAATTTTGTTGAATTAGTTGGGGGTGGTAGGAATGATAGCCCAGAGCACCAGGTTTAGAAATAATGCCCTGAATTATGGCTCCTTTTCTTCCTAAAGGGCCATATCCCTTATATCAAACTGATCATGAATAATTTATTGCAGATACTTGGCTTTCTTCCTTGACAATTAACAACTGAAAATGTGATGCTACACAGCTCAGAAGGCTCTGTCATCAGAAAAATCTTGTGGCCCTTACTATAAAAGGGTTATCTTGTAGACAACGAGGTTCTAAGGCATATGTGATTTTTTTTTTAATACAAACTTGCTGAAAGCAGGCTAAAACAATTTTCTTGGCAGTTAGAAAAGGTCAGTGTGTTCCCCAGCTTGAACTTTCAGTTGAAACGCATGGATTAGCCTAACTGGAACCTTATTCTACCCCTTTAGAGGCCCCCAGTTTTAGCCACAGGAGATTCTGTGGGATTTAGAACTTGTGGTTCCCTTGGTCTGCTATTTCCATAAATGTCACACGCCATTCAGCAGCCTGGAGTAAACTGGAACAATTCAATGAAGCAATAACTTATTAGCAGCATAACTGGCCAGGCTATTCAGAGTCCTGGGTAGTTGAATCTTCTCCTTCCCTGTTCCAGACTTTCACTGTTTCCTTTTGCAAGGAAATAATATTGAAGGTACAACCATAGGAATTGCTTAAGTGTTCCAGTGCACACCTCTCATGTAACCTGTTGAAATGGTTTTATGGATTTATCTTTTGACAACATTTGAATGTACAGTCTTTTAAGTGGAAAGGCAACTTTCTGGTTTGGTGCCCATAATCTTTAGTGTCTTCCCTTTCATGTTATTGCATGAAAGATTGATAGGCTGAGTTATCACACTAGGCTTTAACATGTTTTGTTTATGTTTAGCTTTAGTTATGAGAATCCAATTAAAGTTTATTTGGGATTAAGCAAGCCATGGCTGAGTGTGTTGTACTCCTATATGATAAGAACTACTGTGTTTACATTTAAAGCCCAAATGTCAGAGGAAGTATTCACTGATCATTGCTAGCTGTGGACAGTGGTGGGGTTTTTAAGCTTGATTTTTTTGTTTTAACTATAAAACAGCTTGAGATACTTCAGTATATGAAGTGGGACATAAATATATTTAATAATAATAGTTTATCCATATGTGAGTGTAATGTGCAGAAGTCCCACATACAGTTTAGAAGTTCTCCTGCAATACTAAGTAGAGTGTACACATTAACCATGGTGGGCTACTTGAGCTTTTACGCATTATTGAATTATTGGAGAATATTGTCCATGGGGGGCAGTCTATCTCTGGGTCTATGATGTCTAATCTCGATGTCTAATCTCTCTATCTCTATCTCTGTCTCTGTTTGTACGTATCTCTACTCAGACAGACTCAGGGTACCAATAAGGTTATGCTGAGATTTTTCCTCCAATGCTTTGGAAGTGTTGTTCCTCTGCAAAAAGGACTTCTGGTTTTCTTTCTCATTTTCAGGATACTTCAATAGTTCTTTCCAATTTCTTATGGTTTGTTTTTTTCACTTACTACAGAGATCAAAATTGGTAGAAGATTCTCTCTCACCCACCCTGCCCCAATTTCCAAATTTCTCCATCTTTCCTGGTAGCTTTATGCCTCCTCATCTGAAAAGCTTCTGTGGGGAGTAACTCTACCTGATGTCTTGCCTTGGGATGGGGTGGAAAAATTAGAAGCCACAGAAGCTGCAACCCACTAGAAAATAGGCAGGACTGTCATCTGTCTGTCTTGGCCCCTTTGAACTAAAGTATATGCAAGAAGCATGTATCTCACCCCCAAAAATTATACCAATGTACATCTCCCCTCCTTTTTGTAGAGGGGGGGAAAGGCTGAATAGTTATTCTTTTTTCATCATTTTGATGTAGAATAAAAAATGCAGAAGAATGTTGTGCCCAACCAAGCTAATATAATTGTTTTTATATGAGAAATAAAAAATGATTAATAATTGATTAAATGCAAAACCCCATGTTAGGCACTTCAAAGAATATTCAACAATAGATAAAACTGCAGCTAAGGCTTGACTGGAGAGTCAGTTTGGTGTAGTGGTTAAGGCATCAGGCTAGAAACTGGGAGGCCATGAGTTCTAGTCCTGGCATCGGCATGAAAGCTGGCTGGGTGACCTTGGGCCAGCCACTCTCTCTCAGCCCTAGGAAGAAGAAGGCCAGCCACTTCTGAAACCTTGCCAGGAAAACTGCAGGGACTCATCCAGGCAGTCACCAGGAGTCAACAGTGACTCAAAGGCACCAAAAAAAAAAAAAAAGAAGATGATGACTTGACTGGGCCAAACTTCCTGTGACACTGAACTGAGTGAGGTCTCCTAAATTAGTTTGAACATTTCTGCCTGTTTAACAAAATGCGGCTATGGAGGCTTCAAACCAGAGACAGAAACCTATGCAGGGAAGGAGGCTTCTTAATACTTCCCCATTTGATGCTTTGTCCTTTTAAAGTTGTTGCTTCCTGCAAAAACAGGTACAGCTAACTTTGTTTTTGTTTCTTAACTCCAATTTTGTTTAATTCTGCATTTCCCACTATGTCTGTAGATTGAATGCCATCCATACTTCACCCAACCCAAACTTTTAGAGTTCTGCAAATTGCATGATATTGTTCCTGTTGGGTACAGTCCACTTGGCACATCAAGAGATGAAAACTGGTAAGACTTTGTATTGAAAATGGGGGGGGGGGGAAAGGGGAGCAATAGGGAAGCAGATGTTAAAGGGTTTATAGTTCGACACTGATGCACTGATGTCATGGATGCATTGCAGTGTTCCATCACTGAGATTGACAGGGCAATTCTATGTGGGTGGGAATGTGAGGTAGATTGTCTACCTAAAAGTTCTCCTGAACTGCTAAGCAGAAAGTTGAGTGGTGGGGATGGTGATAACCAGATCTAATGTTTTCGTGATCCATCCTCATTGAACACTCCCTTTTTATCATGACTCCAGACAGTGCACTACCTGTCAGGAGTCATGAGTAGAGAAACAGAGGGGGGTCAGTTCTCTAATTATACAGCCTGCAATTTCCCCTTTCCCTACAAGAGAAGTTCTGCTCTATTTTAATGCCACAGGGCTCCCTTTCCAGGCATCAGAACACAGCCTCACCTGAATGTATGGGGTCATTTTCCCTAATAATCACAAATGTTCTTCTATTGTTTTCTGGAAAAAAAAATAGTTTAAATAGGGGTTAAGAGTGGGATAGTCACCTCATTTTATAAAATCATTTTGATTGATTGATTGATTGATTGATTGATTGATTGATTGATTGATTGATTGATTGATTGATTGATTGATTGATTGATTGATTGATTGATTGATTGATTGATTGATTGATTGATTGATTGATTGATTGATTGATTGATTATGTGCCATCAAGTCATTTTTGACTCCTAGCAACCACAGACAATCTATCCATAACCTGGTCTTTCAAGTCTCCCAATGGCGCACTCATCACCACCATAATTGAGTCCATCCACCTTGCTGTTGGTCATCCTCTTCTTCTCTTTCCTTCTACCTTTCCCAACATTACAGCCTTTTCCAGAGAGCTGGGTCTTCGCAAAATATGTCTGAAGTAGGATAATTTGAGCCTGGTCATTTGTGCCTTGAGTGAGAACTCTGGGTTGGTTTGTACAGTGATCCATCAATTTACTTGGTTGTCCACGATATTCTCAGGAGTCTTCTCCAGCACCAAAATTGAAAAGCATTAATACTCTTCCTATCCTGCTTCTTTGAAGTCCAACTTTCACTTCCATGGAGTGTCACAGGGAATACCATGGTTTGCACAATTCTGATCTTTGTAGGTATAGACACATCACAGCATTTGAATATCTTTTCCAAGGCCCTCATGGCTGCTCTGTTGAGTGCTATTCTATGGTGTATTTCTTGACTGCTTGTTTCTTTACTGTTGATGGTTTATCCTAAAATGCAGAAGCTATCCACCACTTCAGTAGTTTCATTATCAATTCTAAGGCCTGTTGTTCAACCTGTTGTCATTAGTTTGGTCTTCTTTATATTTAATTTTAGTCCCATTTTTTCACTGTGCTCTTTAATTATTAGTATTAGGGCTTGCAGATCCTTTGCATTTTTGGCTATCAGAGTAGTGTCATCAGCATAACACAGGTTATTGATGTTTCTTCCTCCAGTTTTAAAACCATGTTCATCTTCTTTCAGTCCAGCTTCCCTTAATATATATCCCGCATATAGGTTGAATAAATAAGGGGAGAGTATGCAGCCTTCCCCTTCATGGATCACTGCCTTGTCGTGGCGAAGGGGCTTGCGTAACTCAGTGAAG